TGTGGGCACGGATGATTTTTTTGGGATAAGTGGATTGCAGTCTAGTAATCAGACCCCCTCCCCCTGGCCCCTACAGTCCGCATCCTGCTCCTGAATTTGACATCAATCCATTGGTAAGATTCAGTCTACCCCTAGAAATCTTAACTCCACCATAGGAGTAGACTTAATTATAAATTGTGTGATTTAAGAGGTTGTCTCTCGTCCAAATCGATACTCTTAGAACCAAAATTTTCCAAGTTAAAAATTAAAAAACCTATAAATTAACCAGCTCCACCTGTATGGGTCCATCAGTTTCGATACATCATTTACTCCATCACCTTTTCTTTTTCCTTTCGTGTAACTATGCTTGAAGGCTTATTAACAATTCTTGCGAAAATCAATTAGGTTGAAGGCTTAGAGGAATTCAATGAAGATTGAAGTTAGTTTCAGTGGGTGAGAACGAGATCAAATCAGCCCCCCATAATGTCTCACAGCACATCTCTGCCGTGTATTGAAAACATCTTCCGATGATGATATCATCATCAAGAAAATATTTCCAATACACAATGGAAATGTACTGTGAATCATTGTGGGAGCAATCTTGTGGGGGACTGATTTGAACTCAAAAATCTATTTATTGGGAAAAAATTGCAAGACAAGTATGCAATTCGAAAACAGAGCCCTTCCAGGAAGCATAGGAAGAACAAAGAAATCAAATTCCAACTTTAATACAGTGTTGGGTAAGTATCTCTAGGTCTAGGGTGCCCGTCCTCGTCCGTCCTAGAATGAGTAAAATGTTTTCCTTCTTCACGCACGCTATGGCTTTTTGGGCTTCCCAAGATGGGGCCCACCCCAAAAGAATCCGGTGGGCCAAATTTTTGGTCATCATACATACGGCCCTCCCAAGTCCCAAAAATGGGTCCCTGAACAATCCATGTAGTAGTGCTTGCTTTCCTACTTTCTAACACTCCATCCATGATTCCATAAATGCTAAATGGGATCCAGACATCGGAACAGCTTGAAGCCACTTAGAGGAATGATTAGGCAAAAGATTCTAATCCATGTTATGAATGAATGTCCCTTTGCCCTTTGGCCTGAAAACCACTTAAAAAAAAAAGGATCCAGTCATCATTTGAGCATGTCAATCCACTTAGTCCCTCCCCTACCCCATTTCCATCTTAGAGACAGAAAGTTAGGCATAGTCCCAGAGGAATTCTCCCCTCAGTTTCATTTTGAGAAAATTTTTCTGCAACCACATAATTAAGGCTTAGAGAGGCAGATTTGTTTTGTTTGCTGGATGTGAAAAATTGGAGGTCAGACTGCTGCTCCCTGACAGTCTCAGGAAAATTTGGGTCTAACGATGCCCACCTAACCTAGATGTGTCCTTCGAGTTCGGGAGTGCCTGTAACTTTAGGGGCTTATCAGCTCTATAATTGATACCTAGGCAAGTAATTTGGAATTCATATCTGCTCCCCACAAATGTCCCATAGCATATTTCAGCCATGTATTGAAAATATTATTTACCGATAATTTCGAGAGATTGTTTCCAATACATACTTAGATGTACATATGAGGCGTTTGTGGGATGCAGATATGATCTCACTAATTTTAAAGTTGGAGACCCAGTGTGTTTTTCTGTTTTATCCATAATGGTGGTTCCACCAAGTAGCTTCCCTACGCTACGGTTTTGATTCCACTTTAGATAAGTTAGAGTTAGGAGTTCAAAGGTCGAGACTGTAGAGCCTTGCCGGTTGCAACAAATCTCACTTGACAACACACATTTCTCCAAAACTTAAACGCTTTTGATTCTATATTTCTAGGGTTAAAATTTTGAAGTATTACTTCAAGGTTTAGCAAATGGACAAAAGCTTACCTACTGTTTGTCTAATCACTTAAAGCATTACTTTAATTTCTGACAATGGTCAAAATCCCCCTACTATTAGTGTACCGTTACAATCCGTTCACATGTGATGTTACTTGAGTTATATAATTATTCTTAATTTCAAAACTACCCTTTTACAATCAATTTTTCCTTTTATTGTTCCTTAAATTTATAGAACAAAACCCAATTTACCAATGAAAGAACCCCAAAAAAAATTTTTTTTTTCTTCTCTTTCTACTGTTGCTGGTTGATTTTAGGTGAAAAACACAGAAAATTTGTATTTCAATTGAAAAGAATCTTGAGAAACATAGAAATTTGTGATCAGATCTGAAATAGAATTGTTAGGGCAAATCTAGGCAGAGATCTAGGGTCCTTATCTTTGAAGACCCCCTAAGAATTAATGAATTATAACAAACGGGGTGGCCTTCTATGTTGTGAGCATGCATCTAAGCCACCACCGAATAAGAAACCTCGGTAGTTCAAACCTCATCATCGAAACTAGAGTTTCTCAGCTACAAAGAAATAAAAAAGAGACAAAAGGTTAACATATTCTTGTTTCTCACAGATTTCCTATCTTGTTTCTCACAGAACTGTAAACGGAAGCTTCATCTCCTCTCTCGGTCCCACAAACCTCACAAGAGAATCCGCAAACCTCTCCAAAACCATTTGAAAAAAAAAATAGGCTTTGTTAGTTCGTTAATGGAGGCCACTTCACATGTGAGGCGCCAGTGGGGCGCTGATGCAATCTCATATCTACTACCTTAAAAAAGAGGCCAGCTGATTTTATAGGCAATTGATGAGGGCAAGGTTCAAAATATTGGTGTGAAATGCATGATTCAAAGGGCCATACACTTGAGGGTTGAGGGGTGTTGGACGATGTGAATGGTTTTTTTAGAAAACAAAACCACACCACCACATCAGCCCCAAGCCATGAAAATCTTATCTTGGAATTGACAGGGGGAGACCCTGGTAGTTCAACACTTCTACAGGCTCCTGAGATGCATGCAACCTGAATGTGTTTGTTTTTTCTTTTGCATTTTTTGAGTGGGTACTTCAACACTTCTACCCACCTATAGGAACCACCCTGACCCAAACTGTGACATTTTTTATTTTTTTCTCTATTTAATATCAACCAAGTCACTAAGATAACATAAAATGATAAAAAGTTCAAAAATATTTTTAAATAAAAAAAACTGCACAAAAAACACTAAAAATGAATATAAAACATAAAAAATATAGAAAAAATAAAAATTTAAATGAAAGTATCATTTCACATTTTCACATAAAAACATAAAATTGTAAAAAAAAAACATAGAAAATTGCAAAAAGAAATGCAGAAATTTAGAAAAATAGAAATTACATAAAACCCGAAGGAATTATAAAAAATACAGAATAAACAAAAAAAATGCAAATAAATAACAAAAAATTTCAGCAAAATGTATAAGATGCAAAAAAGCAACAAAAATTATGAAACGTTTAGAAAAATGATAAAATGCAAAGAAAATACAAAAATCACAGGAAACATAAAAAAATAGGAAAAATATAAAAATTGCAAGAAAAAACAAAAAATTATAACAAAGCAAAAAATGCAAATAAATAACAAAAGTACAAGAAACCAAATATAAAAAATGTAGGAAGATTACAAAAAGTGATAGATTTTCTTTTCTGAATTTTCAATGCAAGAAAATAAAACGTAAAAATGTAGGACATTTTTTTATAGAAGTTTTTCTTTCTTGAATTAATAGAAGTTTTCAAAAAAAAAAACATAGGAAAATATAAGAAATTTTGAAAAAATATATCAGATTCCATCTTTACATGCGAACCCAGATCTGTCTTCACTGAGGAATATGATGAACACAAATCTGGGTTTGAATCAGATCTAGCACGATCTCCTCCTCTACAGGCGATGGATCTGTTTAGCGAAACCAGATCTTTATTCACATACCAAGATGATGAAGTTTTGAACTAGATCTGTAATCTCTTACTTTACAAGCTGTGGATCTATGTTTTCAAACCCAGATCTGTCTTCACCCCATCCTCAATAGAGGACAATGAACACAATCTGGGTTTGAACCATATATAGTGCGAATCTGATATTGAACGCAACCTCTGCCATGGCAGAAAGAACAAAGAGAGATCTGTTATGCGAACTCAACCTCTCTCATGGCAGAAAAAGCAGAGAGATATCTGCTATGCGAACCCAACCTTTGGAAGAAGAAGAAAAAGAAGAAATAGAAAGAAGGGAGAAAATCGCCAGACGGTTTTGATGAGAACGGCGACCTAACTTTCTCCTCTCAACCTGGCGATTTGGCAGTACAGAGCATAACATAGTCGAGACTCCACCCAGCTTGACCCTTTTCCCTTACAGTTTCGACCCTCCCCTCAACCCCACTGATCCTAACCCTTTAACCCAATGAGTGCCCTCAACCCAACCCTCTTCTCCTGACCCAAATGAATTGACTCAACCAATAATGACCCTCATCTTAAATGGGTGGGTAGGAGTAGGTTTTTAAGCGGGTGGGTTGGGTGGGCCAAATGGGTTGGGGTCAATATTGCCACCCATAATGCTGGAATTGCTCTACTGAAATAGAATAGGCTCTRGCTTTCAAACTGGAATGAACTCAGATCATACTCCCATCTGTTTCTATTACGCCTACGCTTAGACTCCTATCTAAGCTACCTACCTCTTTCTTTGTCTGTTGGAGGCAGCTGGCCGTTCATTCGGCATTCTTTCTCCTAGCGGTGTCTGCAGAGAATTCCTAAGTATGATCCAGAAGTACGATCCCCCATGGTGTTGAGTTATCAACGAGGTATCATAGTTCTATTTGGTACGGATCTTGACCCATTGCTCCATTTTTTTTTTAATCCAAGTTCGCGTCAAAGTCTCCAGAGAATATTTACTGTGACCAAGAGATCAAGGGGCATTTTCAGCCTCATTCTCCGATCAAGGAAAGTTGGAGCCATTAGGTGTGGTTCTGAACTGGTTTGGTTTGTTACTCCCCCTCTTATTTGTTGTCGTGTTGGAGCGCAAAAATCCCTGAATGATCAAAAGTCTGTTTACTTGAGTGCTAGGCCAAAGTCAGATATCGTCATCCAAAAGAATCACCCAGGGGGAAAAAGCACAAGCATGCAAGTATTGTGGGGAAAAATATATGAAAGGAAAAGGTGGCAGTAGCAAACATGCCAATCTCTTTCATCCTTCACCATACCACCATATCAAACAGCTACAAACTCTTTATGGAGCCAAATAAATATAATCTGTGGAAAAAGAAAGAATTTAAAGAAAGAAGAGACATACATTTTTCACCTGCATTTTATTCACCACAAAAAAGAAAAGCCTTCCATGCCTCCTGCCTTTACCCACCATGTGAATTTGTAGCCTAGCCCACTCCACAGAATTTGCAGGTGAAAAGGGGGAAAGCGAGGCGCACATGCGAAAATTTTCCTTGCAAAGGATCTAAGCACAAAAATAGAAAGATCAATGGAAAAGATTTAATCAGATTGATCGTGTGGACGTTCTGAAGACGTTGGAGAAGTCTGGGTTGGGGAGGTCGCTTGTGGTTCAAGTGGCTTTGTATCTGAGTTCTGATGTTTGGTACTAGTAACCTCAGGCTTCCGGTCAGGCAACCTTGATGACTTGGAGGGAGAAGTTTCTGAAGACCGGGTCATTGGTGAACTTCTCTGGTAAGGGAAGCTGGTAGGATCTGCTGCTGCTATGGAAAGAGTCGGCAGGCCCATGCCATAATTGTAATATCCCGCCAATGGGTGATCATATTTGCACGTTGGACCAAACTTGCAGATTCCATATAGATTGTAGAATGTACATATAGCCTGGCCCTATATATTAAAATTAAAGAACATGAGATTGTGCAGCGAAACCAAGAAGATCAAGAATATGATTGAACAAGATATGCAACTTACAGGTCTCAAGGGAAGTCCAAGTGGGCCTATAGTACTTGTAGCTAAGGGAGCAATCCTCTCTCTCGGATGATGGTACTTGCAAGTGGATCCAAATTTGCAGCTTCCAGTCTTCATGTAATACTGGCATTCTGGCTGATCAGGTCTCTCAGGGAAATTTGTAACAGATGTTGATACCAAGTGCACTTGCCCACTTGAACCTGATTCACCCTGTGCCTGTGGTTTAGAGTTGTAGACAAGATTGGATCCAAGAACACTGCTAGAAGATATGGGGCTCATCGTGCTCTGATTGGCAAATAAAAATACGGATTAAGCATACAATATACAATTCAACTTTCTCTTAACTATACATTGCCAAACAGGTCACGTAAGTCATATTTGAGCCAGTACTTAATAGATCCTAATAATGAATAGTTTGCTGTTTGTGCAAATGTATTTCTAATAGTAAAACCATGGAAGAACCAACCCAGACCTTGATCCAGAGAGATGAATGGGTCCAGGTCTACACAAAACAATTTATCAATTCAAGTATAAACCCATGCCCAAAATATGATTCTATATGCATAGTCCAATGTATACATTAGGAGAGCAACATGATGGCAGCCAGAATTTACTCAACCTTTTCTTTTACTCCTTTGATTTGAGATTGTTTTAATGTTTGGCCCTTTCCTTGGAATCTTGATTTATTTTCTAATATTTTAATTGAGTAGGATCAAGAATAATCAGACAGTACTGCAATATCAGCATCTGAGGATTTAGATGTATTTCTTTTCTGTTTGTTTTTTTTTCCTGGTAATAATAGCATTTAGTTGATAGTCAGGTGATGATTTTGATAAGCTCATACTCATGGCAGTTATAGGTGAAGATCCAAATAGAAAACAAGGATTTTGGCCCAAGAAAATTGTGCCTTCAGAAAGAAATAAAAGAAAAAAATGACCAAGCAGAAGATTAGAAGGTTCCTGCAGCATATGTACATTAATAACAAATCAGACACCATTGAGAAACTAACCTTACGCTACAGAAGATATCGTTCAAGACAAATAAACTCAAGTTAAAATGACTAAGTAACTTGTGACCAAACAGAAGCAGCTTGTGGATCCATTACTCAGAAAATGAAGAGAGTCCATACTAGAAATCCAAATACAAACCTTTGGTGCAAATAACAGCTAAGACAACACAAAGGAACAGAATGACGCTTCCATTCTTATGAGAATGCAAGTGTCAGTGCGAATGATTAAGAGAAAGCAATATAGTTAGTGACTTCCCATTTTGAACAGTTTAATAATTATGCTAAGAAAGTGTGCAGGCTGAAAAGTAACACCTGACATCTGAGAAACTATAGTTAGATAGATGCATCCTCCGTGCAATGCAGAAAATTTTCTACATAAACAGACCAACTTTCAAATATGGAATCTAAGAAAAAACCAATAATTTTAATAGATACTCAACTCAATTAAGGAATGTTACTGACCGTATAAGTGTTCCATCCTTGCTGTGCAGGTACTATGCCTTGGGAGGGTGAAAGAACAACAGGCATGTAGGCCTGGGGACCTTCCATGCGGGGACCAGAAATGTACGGTGCTCGTGGTAAAGACCAAGCTGGAAGTCCACTTACATAGGGTACACCTGATGGGGGAGCTACTGATGAACCTGTAGATCCATAGGCAGCAGATCCAGTTCCAGGCAATGCAGGTCCAAGTGTTACAGGTTGAGGATGATGGAACTTGCAAGCCACTCCAAACTTACAAGACCCAGTTCGCATGTAATATGGACATGATTTCTCTTCCTGTTAAAAAGGAACTATTGTAAAAACTGGACAATGAACCACCTTGTTGGGAGTTCAGATGCAAATCAATTACAATGGTGCCGCATAATAATCCAACCAGTTCCACAAACATAAATTATTTGAATCACCATTACATCCATGGAATGTAGATGAAAACTTCTAAATCAAAGAGAAGGAGAAGTAGGCACCTGACGCATAGGCAGTCCTAAAACATTCAGTAGAACCTGATCTGCGTCATGCCGGTCACGTGGGTGATGATATTTACATGTTGCTCCAAATTTACAAGTTCCTGTCTTCAGAAAATACTGCAAAGAACACATGAAAGGAAGAGAACCAATTACAAAGACTGTTTACTTAGACCATAACTTCGCATAACTTCTTGTATATAAGGCCAACACTGAGAGTAAGAGATTGATGAACAGATTTCTTTGCCATGAAGAATTTTCAGACTAATGAGAACAACCAAGCTGGATATAAGTCCCAACTTTTCATAATTTTAGTAGTATTTCCTTAGAAATGGTACAGCATTACCCAGATTATAAACTAATTGTAGTAAAAATGGTCATAGGCATGAAAACGTCCAATGGCCAATATCACTCAACTCAAAACATTCTAATTTCAATTGTAATAAAATCATCTCAAGATAGAAATTGTATTAGAAGCATCCATACAGAGAGGCTGTTTCCAAGATTTCAACCGTGGTCACCCAGGTCACAATGGAGCAACCCAACTGTTGTGCCAAATAAGAAAAATAGTTCAAATTAAATTACACAAAAAATTAAAAAGAAAAATAAGAAAACAACAAAAAGGGAAACAGAGGAACATGTGGGCCTAACTGATCATGAAAGCAAATGAGTGGAGGCATCACAAAAGGCAGCTTTTAAAGAAAATGACTTCAAGTGGAGAAAACAAAAAGGCTTGTACACATTGTGCACTTTAGTAGATGTCTCCCTTCTAAGCAGACCCTGCTAACAAGCACCAGATGTCAATCTGTTTGGCTGACATGAGCTAGGAACATCATCAGCACGTTAGTATAGTTCCAACTTCCAAAGATCTATGCATCAGCTGTTCAGCATATATCCAAGTGTCAGCAGCATTAGATCTCTAGTATTGAGTTACCCTAACAACCCTGTTGCTAACCAACATTTACAGAAGAAAGATGATGCATTAAGATTACCAGAGCCCACAATCAGTAAGATCATGTCCTAGTGTTAAAAAATTTTAAAATAAAAAGAAGAGAGGTAGTTGGGCCTCCTGAAGAGGTAAGGTCCTTTTTGTTGAAGAAAACAACTAGTAAGGTATGTTTTAAAAAGAAGAGGTGTCTGTGAATGGCAAAGAACATCAAAGAAAATTTGAGGCAGGTTGAAAAATGTAGAATTATGAAAGTATACAATCAATTATAATGGAACAATAAAAGAAAAATAAAAAATAAAGATGATCAACTGTGTAATGAAACGGGTGGAGCCAGGGGGTCAAGGGGACCATTAGGGTTATCAATGGTATGGACCAACAGACCTGAACTGATCCGAGTCTATTATATGGAGCTGGATCTGTATTTTAATCCCCAATTATTAATAGAATCAGTTCTTGTTATGTATTTTGAGTCCCCCTTAGAATTTTCTATTTTGGTTAAGAAAGGGTGTAGACATCTTAACAAAAGACCATTCTGTTTTGGTTAAGAAAGGAGAGGATATTCCAAACTTGCATTAGGAACTTGAAGCTTGAGATTTGCAATAGTCCATGGGAGTCAAAAACTCAAAACCAATTGAAACCCTAATAGAAAACTTAAACTCTTTGTTTACTTTGTTTCCTTAAATTGTAGGGCATCCCAGTGCACGAGGCCCCCTAATCAACCAACCAATGTGGGGTCTGGGGAGGAACAGATGTACGCAACCTTACCCCTGCACATACAGAGAGGCTGTTAACTTAAATCCTAGCCAAGCAAAATTTGTACGTATACATGCATGCATGTATATTGTGTGTGTATGCTTATAAACATGCATACATTCCATTTAGAGAAGTTCCCTAAACAACTTAGGAATGTTCCCTCCAAAAAACTAGTTTGGTTTCTAAAAGGAATTCACATGTTCTTCTCCCACCCTATATTCATGGAACCAATTTTCACCCAAAAGCCCTTGCCATGTATGTAAAAATAAGCCCTTAGGCAAGATATATAATAAAAAATTAAACTTTGAACTACTAATATTAATTAACCACCAATATAAGGTGGGATATAAGAACAATGCAAGGTGGAGGATTAAATATATGGTCAATCAAGAGGGTCTCCAACTTCACTGCAGCATGCCCCTACTGAGTCTTGAATCAAGACATATATACCCATGGTCATAGATATAAACCATGACAACCCTCTTCAATGCTATTTGGAGTTCACCTTCCACTGGTGAAATAAATATACACTGCCACATCCACCTTGTCCTTTCTTTTTTTTCCGGATAAGTTCCATCTTGTCCTTCCTTTCTGAATAAAGACTGCATTTCAAATAATTCTACTACTGTAACTCAGAACTTTCACATGCAGACAAAGTTAAAAATCAATAAAAAGGAAGTGATCATCACCTGGCAGGTCTACAAGGTTAAAAATCAATAACTCAGAACTTTTGTCCAACAAAAGTTTTCTCAAATAGGTCATCTATATATATATATATATATAGCAGTCAAGAAATTTTCCCCTTTTTTTGAAATTTTTATTTTTTTTATTCCATGTCATTTTTTAAACAACCAATGAAATGCACTTTCTCAATAACCTAAATAATCTCTTCCCTAAAATTTATCTTAAATAATCTCTTCTCAAATTCCTATTTATCTTTTAAATTATCTCTAATTCCTATTTATCCTCTCCCCTATTTTTTATCTATATCTATCTAAAGAAAGTTTGGATTAAAAAATTTAAGAATTATTTAAATATTCTAACAAAATTATATAATAACTTTAAAATATTTATTAAAANTATTTAAATATTTAAATAACTAAATATTTATCATAACTAGATTTTAAATAGTTAAAATAACGAAATTATGTAACAAATTTAAAAAATTTCTTCAAAGTAGAAAAATAATTATAACATAATATTGGAATTAAGAATAATTTAATATATTACAAAATTAATAATGAAATTATGTAATAATAGTATAAATTATGATTTCATGGATAATTAAATTCGATAAATAATTAATATTTTAAAATTCAAATACTTTACATACTATTTAAGTATTTAAATAACTAAATATTTTAAATAACAAAATATTTAACATAACTAGATTTTAAATAGTTAAAATAAAGAAAATATGTAATAGATTTATAAAAATTCTGAAAAGTAGAAAATTAATTATAACATAATATTGAAATTAATAATAATTTAATATTTTTACATAATATTGTAAATAACTAATTTCACTTATATCAAGTAATAACTTGAGAAAATAACTTTCAAAAAAACTAATATTTGTTAATAATAATTTTAAACTCTTAATCTGTATTTATTATATAATTATATATACTAAAACTAATATTTATTGTATTTCAGTAATTATTCATTGTTTTTTGTGATAAATGTATTTTCAATGATTATGTATAAATTTATTTTGTTTTGTTATTTAACAGAAAACTTTCAATAATTATCAGAGATTAAACTACTATTATTGAAATTTTTAATTTTAATTTATTGTACTTATTGTATTTATTGTATATTTTTTATAACTTATTGATTAATATTTATTAGAGATTATACTATTTATTGACTAATTTAATATATTTGTAGTACTTATTTTATTTTTGTAATTAGTGTATTTTTCATTATCAATATATTTTCAATAATTGTGTATTTTCGCTATAAATTTTCAATAACTATTGGAGATTAAACTATTGTTATTTATCAGAGATGAGACTATTTATTTAACTGAAATCATGAGTGTTCATGAGTTGTTCCGGTTCGGTCGTAGGCTATTTGGCCAACCAAATTGACCTGGTCAGGTTGGGGAGTTGGTTAGCTGAAATCGACTGACCTTTTGTGAAAATCGACCCACACAAGTTGTATCAGTTCGAGTTGATTTTTTGGTTTGGTCAATTGGTTCAAAAGATTTGAACTTAAAAATTTAATTTAATTTTAAAAAATTACAGTGTAGTTATTAAAAATAAATTTAAAAATTAGATTTATGACATAAAACATTTTAGACTAAGAAATATGGGAAATTTCCCACTTTTCCATGTTAAAAATTATATTTAAAATATAAAATGTTAATATATATCCACGGTTAGGTCGTTCAATTTTGGTTGGTTTATAAATGGCCAAAGTGAAACTAATCCAACTTTGTCGAATTGGGAAATTTTTGAACCAAAGCTGACCTAAACTACTAGAAAACCAACCAACTTGGGTCGAGTTGATCGGGTTGGTTGGTTTCATCAATTTGATGAATAAACCTAACTGAAATTAATTATTGTTATTTTTATATTATAAAAAAGTTGTTAAAAGTAGTATATAAAATATGAATAATTATTAACTATTTAAAAAGTTGAAAATATAAAACAATTGTATACTCTTATGTGTTTCTATTAGGGTCATTTACTAGAACACACCTTATAGTTTTACATATTTACTTAAACCTACCTTTTTTCATTTTACTAAAACATCCCATATATTTTACAACTCATTTACTTAATCAACCTTTCATTAAGGAGTGTTTGTCTTGCCATTAGGCCCATGATTTTTTATTCCAAAAATACCCTCAACACTTTTTTGTACATAAGGGGTATTTTAGTAAATGACCCTTTCTAATATTTAGCTTTCGCTTAATAAATCTCATGCATTGCATGGGTCCCCGCTAGTTATATCTAAAAGTATGCATTACACTAAAATACTAAAAACATGAAACTGATAAAAAATACTAAAAAAATGAAATATGAAATGTCTTAAACCACAAATGTTACCAAAAAAAACAAGAAAGGAACTTCCATACAACTAAGAAAAACCTAATTAGCTAATTGACTCAGCAACAACCCCCAAAGTCCCTTTATCAAGAACCTATCAAGAGATAGTATACTCCAATCAACTCAAATCAGCCTCAACCCCACCTATTTAGGGTCAGTCATATCAGTACATGACATCAAACCAAAGAAATTTTGAAAACTCTGTTTCCATCTTGCTCTTCAAATATTGAGGTATTTGAATCAGGATTTGGATCAGGACTGTACCATCTAAACTGGCTTTTTTTGTTTGGCCTGCAGTGCTGGACAAGATCTTAACTAGGGACAATTTAGTCAGAAGAGGTATAGAGGGTGGCGGATATGGC